CTCCGGATGCCAATTCGTTGGAATATTGTGTCTGGAATATTTTGGAAAGCAAGATTGGCACTAAAAAATACCAAAGTGTCGATCAGCTGAGCTGTGCCGGGAATGGGCCAAAATACCGCAGAGCAACATTCGGACAGCGTGAGACGGTTTCATTGGCCGTTTGAAGGGCATAATTCATGCCAAAGGTGACCAATTCGAACCAATCTAAACTTTTTCTAAAATTTGATGCTATTTCCGACATTTTTTGCTTTCATTCAATAAAATTTAATAAAAACAATGCAAAAATTATGGCGTTTGCCTTATTTGCAATTTTATATCTCACCCTGTATTTTGTTGGGTCTTTAATGATTATTTCGATGATTTACAAACTGAAGGACAATTTTAATATGCCCTTCAAACTATGTATGGTGGGGGCATAAAAAAGTGAAGGCTAAAATGGGTTTATGATCATCACATTAACCAACCCATCGTGACAGTCGGCTCATTTCAAACCTAGTTTTAAATCTGTAGTAAAAGACTTAAGTTATTTTACAAATGAACGTCGCATGCCATGCGCTGCATGATTATTGTTAAAAGATGAATGAAATGTAAAAAAGAGAAAAGTTCCAACACTCCACTCAAACAAAAATGCGTTCAATGGCTTGATCTTTATCTACAACTGGCCTGACCAGACCCATGAATTTCATGCAATGTTTGTCAAACTAATTAATAAATTTTTCCTTAAAGATAAACAAAATAAAATCGAACTAATTATCAGTTAATAAATAGAAAAAATACATATGTACATGTATGCATGAAGGCATGAAGGAAAAAAAGAACAACAACGAAAAAAGCAAATATTTAACTGGGCCAGAAATCAAGTAAACAAATTTAAAAAAAATGCAAGAAAGAAATAAAACAGCAAACGAAAACAATTTATAAGATAGTAAAAGTAAGGCTAAAGAAATGTAAAGAGATACACCCACCCCATAAGAAAATGAAGAACAACGTAAGTCCATGGTGGGTGTAGTAGAGGATGCCGATTCTAAAATAAAAATCATCGAAAGAGAAAAAAAGACAGACAGCAAAGGAGGAAGTAGACAAAAAAAAAGAAAACGGAAACGTGACAAAAGAAGAAAAAAAAAAACAAATAATGATATGAGTAATTTCTTAGCAAATCCCATGTGCATGTGATGCATCATAGTACGACATATACCCACCCCCTAGATTAGGCGTCGAACTGACATGTAACAATGTTGTTGCTGTTAAACCTTCAGCACATGAACTGCAATTCATACACTCTTGACATGTTGTCTGTTGTTGTTGGTGTTGCTGCTGATGCAGATGTTGCTGCTGTTGTTGACGTTTGCATATTTGACATTGCATATGATTTTGACGACAATAGCTGTGGGCATTGTTACGTCTATAATGTGAACTGCGACGATATGGTGACCAATTATTTGCTGGCTCATTACAATTGCCACCAGCAGCACAAACGATTTTCTCAAAACTGTTTCCCATTGTATGGGTGGGTGGAGATTTGTCTTTTTGATTTCAATCTATTTTAGATGCTTTGTGTTGCAAGAGATTTTCTTAAAATATTGATTTTTAATTGGCTACAAGGGGACATAAATGTTTAGAATCGCAAGGAAAATTGCAAATTTATTTTGTAACTATTGCCATTCGTGTGTGTACTTTAATAGAAAACCCATAATAGTTATAGTGATGTATTGAATTTGGATGTTTGAATTGATAGATTACAATTTGATTGACAAACACCAAGATCCAATAGTTGGCAAAATTGTCCAATCTCAATCAATGAAGTGGAACAAAGCCTTTGTATAAAAGGTATCAGACGCTTTTGTCGACAGATTTTTACCCCCAGCCTTGAGTTATGATTATTCAAACTGTTGACCTTTTATGGGGGAGGGTTCCGGAGCAATTGGCCAATATTGACCAATATTACAACGTGCCATATTTGGACTATATCTTCTACTTACTACACTTTATATAAGATTTATTTGAGATTTATGAAATTTGCATCATATGCAATTTTTTGGAAAATGTGGAAATATGCGTGAGGTAACAGACATAACGGAGCGAAGTATTTTATTTTCATACTTCATCTAAATTTTATGCGAAATCATAAACTACGATAAACTACTTATTCATATCAGATTTCTGGTTAAGAGAAATATTTATATATAGAAAGTTGTAAAGAATCACCGACTTGTTTCGCAAGTTATGACAGATATAATATATATCTTGCGTTTGCAAATATATTTGGATGTGTGAAATTTGAAGACAATTGGATGCTTATCTCGCTTTCTTTGAGCGTTTTTTATTCCAGAAATCTGGAACCCTATGTGGGGAAGGTACCAGAAGAAATGGTCCGATCTGTGCCATCCTTATAACAATTATTGTGTTGATAAAGATTTACCAAGTCTGAATGGAATGCTCAAAATGTTGACCCTTTGTGGGGGAGGTACCAGAAGGAGTGGACCGATAAGTCCCATATTCACACCAGATCTTGGGTTAATAAAAATATTGTGATGTGTGTAATTTGAGGAGAACCGTATGCTTATTTTATGATTGTATGGCCGTTTTTTGTTATTCAAAACTTTAACCCTTTGTGGGGGAGGTACCACAAAGTATGGTCCGATCTTTACTATCTTTATAACATATCTTGTGTTGATGAAAATATTGAGACGTGCCAAGTCTGAATGGAATCGGATGTTAATTTCCCGTTTTATGAGCTTAATGGATACTCTAAATTTTGACGCTTTGTGGGGAGGTACCAGAAGAAGTGAACCGATATGTCCCATCTTCACCCCAGACCTTGGGTAAATAAAAAAATGGTGATGTGTGTAAAAAGGAGCACCTGATGCTTATTTCGGGTTTATGATCGTTTTTGTTATTCAAAACTTTGACCCTTTGTGGCGGAGGTACCAGAAGGAATCGTCCGATCTCTACCATCTTTATAACAGATCCTGTGTTAATGGAAATATTCAGACGTACTATGTCTGGATGGAATCGGATGTTAATTTTGCGTTTTATGAGCATCATGGAAATTCAAAATTTTGACCTTTTGTGGGGGAGGTACCAGGAGGTGTGGACAGATATATCCCAACTCCACATCAGATCTTGTGTTAGTAGAAATAATGGTGGTGTGCACCGATATTGCCCATTTTAGCACCTGACCTAGCACTGATGCAAATATTAGGATTTGAGATCAAAAAACTGAAACCAGACTGTTACAATTTCAAAGCCACTCGTCCGACAGCTGTTAAAATTATTCCAGTGACAGCTTATTATATTGTTTACAAGCGTACAAAAGAAAAAAGTTATTCGTGATGGAATTCAAACGTGGTAGTGTGATTTCTTTATATTTGGTTGGAAAACCACAAGTGGCTATCGTTGGAGCACTCCAGAATTTAAATGTGAATAAATCGTTTGTGTCTCGTACAATCGCTTGTTACCGTAACACTGGTAGTGTAGCCCGACGTCAAGGAGGTTTACGGAAGAAAACATCAACATCAGCAGAAATGGTTCGAAAAGTAATGGAGCGACTTGATCGAAACCCGCGTCGCAGTGTCTGAAAAATGGCTCGTGAGCTGAACATATCGCAATGTTCCATTCGGCAAATATTGAAAAATGAGCTCGGGGTAAAGCCATTGAAATTCCAAAAAGTGCAAGAACTTACATCGTAACAGCAAGAAAATAGACTCAAAACAGCTAAAGAGTTGCTTCGCTTGGCCGAAATTGGGAAACTGTCGAATTTGGTTTTCTCCGACGAGAAAACATTCGCTGTTCTTCCCAAAGAGGTCAGCTGAAAATGTGAACATTCGGTTGGCCACCAGAACTCAAGCGCCGGCCATGGTGATGGTGTGGGTCGCCATAACAGACGATGGTCACTCTCCGCTCGTATTAATCGATCGTGGCATCAGAATAAGCCGAATATCATCGCGAAAATATTCTGGAGGGTGTATAAAAGCCTTGAGCACGCAAACATATTGGCCGCTTATTCTAAAATTTCCAATTTTATTTCCATTTTTTTTGCTTTTATTCGACAAAACTTAAAAAAATTTAAAAATGATGGCGTTGATTATGTTACAGTTTTTTATCTCACCCTGTACATCCTTTCATGGAACAAATTGTCAATAGGTTTGACCAACTTCTATAAATATGCAACTTGTTTCGCTATATAATCGATTCAAAAAAATGCTCGGCATAAAGAAGTGCCTACATTGCAACCGTTTCATAATATCCCTAAATAGCTATCATTCATAGTCAATTAAATGTCACAAAGTAATTCAATTTTATACAATACGCCTTCAAATAATTGCAGCCAAGAGGAATATCCGGCCGTTGGGACATTCGTGGAAAATGTTAATTCCCCACGATTACTCTTGAAAATAAATTGATTTGTCAATATCCTCTTTAAATCACCGTTAAGACCCTTATCAAAATCCAATTAAATCCAAGTAAGTCATTCACATAACAAGTAATCTCGTTTACTTGCATTCCTCCCACACAATGTCGTCGTCCTTGTTTGTTCCTCCCTAAAGAAGTAAATAAAAGCAACAGCAAATTGTGTTTTCTTTTGCAGCAACAACGACCAACAAAAAATCATATCCTTACTCCCCAAAAACAACAAAATCATCATCGTTGTGGAACATATGACTTGGTGTACAGAAATTCCGACAACTACAACACAATTATATACGCTACACTTCAAGGCCATTTTAAACGAAAACTTAACACTTATTGATTTTTCGATATGTGTGTGTGCTTTTTTGCTAAAATACAGAAGAAGAACCACAAATAAACCAAAACATTTAAACAAATGCATGCATGGGATATTAGATAGTGGGAGGTGGGAGAGGAATTGAGCAGGGGTTTTTTTTCACTACGCCAAATGACCAAATTCAAATTCTACATAAATCATTATTAATTGTCTAGCCAATGAGGAAAAGAAGAAGAAGGAGCAAAAACGTTTATAATTAGTAACAGGAAATTACATTGCCATCATGACCCAAGAAAAATCCCGGACGTTGATGGGTACGCTCAATGCCGCCGCTGCCTGCTAACGAGGTATGATGGGATTGTTGTGATGACACGGCTGCAGCGGCGGCGGCCGCGGCTGCTGCTTGTTGGGAAGATTGTTGACGCAGATCCTGGTAACCTGACTCTAGTTCGGTGTAGGACATCTTTTCACAGTTAATGTTGATGCTGCTGCTGCTACTGGCGAAGAACCTTGAGAATGTGTTGATGGCGGTGGTGGTGTTGGTGTCAAGGTCTTGGTGCTTGATGATGATGCTGGTGCTGCTAAATCTAGGTGTGCCTTCTTTTGTGGATCCGTGAGTAGGCGAAATGTTTCAGATGTCTGACGGTTTTGAGGGGTAGATGGTGTTTTTAGTAAAGTTTTTGGGGAATTTTGTAGTGAATGCATTAATCTGAATTTGCTGCAATATGCACACAATTACGAAGGAAGAAATTACGGACTTGATTGCTTTTTCTTTTCTTTTGAGGGGAGTGAAAAGTGCAAAAAATCTAAACTTTTCTGCAACTTTTGCTGGGTGTTCCGGGGTTTCTTCACGAATTTTTCAAATTTTTTCGCACACAATACACACAAGAAGCAGCGAATGAACGAAGCATATCAAACCCAAAAATTTTCAAGTTGACCTTTAAAGCACTCGCAATAAAAAAAGAAAAGCACACACTTTCTTTAAAATTTCCAAATTTTTAACACTTTTCGAAGAAATAAATTCCACACTTCCGACCGTTATGTAATGCAATTTTAGGTATTCTTTCGCTTGATTTCTTTGCACCGAAATTGGCAAAATGATTTTTTGTGTATTTTCTAAGGCGTCTCACTAAATACACAACCATCCACGACAAATGACGACGGCAAAATTTTGTCTGTCAAACCAACATCTTCGACTTGATGTTGATGTTTTGTTGCTGCTTGTTTAGAATGGCTGGCGATAGAGGAAATGTGAAATTTTTGCGAATGTGAAGATAAAGTATGGTGAAAATATGTTGTTTAGAATAGGTTATAAAGCAAAATGGGAAAATTTTGCGCACGTTGAGATGGAATGTGGTGAAAATTTGTTAGTGTTTATTCATTTGTTTAGAATAGAGTGCAAAGAAAATGTGCAAATTTTGCGAATGAGAAGATGGAGAATAGTGATGATTTGTACCATATTTCTATAGACTACTGGCCACACATCAACTTTCAAGAATTACAAATAAAATTTGCTAATGTTGGGTTCAGACGATAGAGAAAAAAATGCTTGGATTTGACAAAAAACTGGAAAGTCCTGGAAATATAAAAGAATATTCAGTCTTCTTAAAACTGACTTCTCAGATAAAAGCTTCCTATAACAGGAGAAATACAGCTATACAAGTTGTGCCGGTTTTCTTAAAAACTGCTCTGTTCCAAATCTGCAAGAATGCCAAGGTTTTTACTGCAACAACCAATTTTCTCTAATCGAAAAAAATGCAAAGCTTGTAGATTCTCGCAGATCAAGTGATATATCATGTTACCAAGATAGAGATAGAACAGCTTCATAAAACTAGAGAAATATATCTCTAAGACTGTGCCCGCTTCCCGTCAGAATTACTCAAAATAATTGTTTTGTTCCAGAGCTGCAAGATTGAAAAACTTTTTACTACGATAGCCGATTTTTTACCCTCCATACTATAATGGATTTGATCAGGTTCGTCATTCCGTTTGTAACAACTTGAAAAATACATTTTAGGCCCCACAAAGTATATATATTTTTGATCAGCATAAAATTCTATGTCGATTTGGCGATGTCCGTACGTCTGTAGAAATCACTCTAGCTTCCGAACGAATTGAAGTAGATTGATAAAATTTTACTCAAATGTTTATTATGTCTGCAGGACTTTTGGTATTGGAAATGGGCTATGTAGGTCCACGTTTAAGTATAGCCCCCATATAACGGTACCTTCCGATATTCGTACATTGATGATTTTAGCGACATTATGCACAGGAATTGTTTCAAATTTGGAATTGGAAGTTCGTAATGGATACTACAGCCTATGACAGAAAATTGTCAGCGCAGGTCTACGTCTTTTTATAGCCCCCATATAACGGAATCTCCTGATATTCGGTATTTTAATGATTTAAGCGACATTATTCAACAGAATTATTTCAAATTTGGTATTAGAAATTCGTAATGGATACTACAGCCTAAGACAGAAAACTGTCTGTGTAGGTCCACGTTTTGGTATAGCCTTTATATAATAGTTCCTGTCTATATTCTGTATTTTGATGATTTTAGTAACATTTTTCACCGGAATTGTTTCAGATTTGGTGTTTGAAGTTCGTAATTAACACTACAGCCTATGACAGAAAATTGTATGTGCAGGTTCACGTCCTCGTATAGCCCCCATATAACAGTACCTCCCGATATTCGATACTTTGATGATTTTAGCGACAGGAATTGTTTCAAATGCTGTATTTGAAGTTCGTAATGGATACTTTACTATAATACACATTAGTTTCCTTGCAGGTAAATAAACACTTATTCTTAGCATCAATTCCTATACATTAACTTTTTGATACAAATTTTTTGGATATTTGTTTATTTCTTTTTGGTTGCGTATTTAATAAATAAAAATCAGCTCAGCAGCATTTTTATCCTCATAAGGGTGTATCTAAACATGGTTAAGCCAATGGATCTATTAAACTCAGTGGATAAAAATTTTAATAGTGCAAATGCGCTATTAACCTTCTTAATGAATACAAACCGTAACCGTTATTTATGTCTACACACAGTCCTGTCAAGTCTACGTAATCGTTACGTTATTCTAATCACCCCCACTTCAACAACGTACAACGTGGTCAGCTTACAGCTGACTGTCGAGTTCACATTTTACATTTGACGTGTTGCCTTTTCCTGCATTCGTAAGAAATTATTTTCCCGAATTCGAAATAGAAATCCCCGATTTTGGGGAAAAAGTTGCCAATACTGACAACGCTGGACAACGTAATTGTGGTCAAAATAAAACAGTAACAAAAACAAAGTAAAAAATATAAATAAACAAAGGCTACAACATCAAGTGAATTGTGAAATACACAGAGAAGTGCATATCATCCTGGGGGAACACTAATTCGGAAAGTCAGCATCGGAAAGCCAAGGAAAAAATAAACCTTGATGAACTGCTTTACTTGCCTTCGAAACTCGAAATAATCTTGGTGATAATATTCCAAAAAGATGTCCCAGATAGATAATATTATCATACAAGTAAGGGCACGTCTACAAGCACTTGCCATTAAATTATGGCTGGAGCCATACTACTATGAGGAAGTTGGTTGTGTGGAAGATGAGATAGAGGTAAGTTGCATTATCTGATCGAATTGCTTGCAATGACAACACCACGTGTACCACGTGTTTCTTTTTTTGTTGGTATAGAAATTGGCTGAAAGCTTTAGCAACAATTTGGGCATATCAAAATCCAATTGTAAATTGGCCTTAAGTGAACTGCAAGAAGGTGCCTTGAGGAAACTGGCTGCCCGTAAAGAGTTTGAACAGACTGGTGTGTATAGTTTAAATCTACTATGAAATTGTAGAACATAAATATGCATGTGACGTGGAACAATTTATTTTATTCTACAGGTTTGGCCACATTCAGTGTGCGACGCATAAACAATCGTCAGGGTACCCAAAACATAGTTGAAGTAAAATGTTCCCTGAAGGCATTGGGTAGTGAGTTACATGAAAAAATAGCCCAGGCATTGGATGTGGTTGATGCTAGTCGCATAAAGTGTATATCATCGGGTAAAATTGTCAATTCCGAGATGACACTAGACTCGCAGGGTCTTAAGAACAATCAACAGCTAATGGTGATTGTCAGTGAAATTGATCTGGCATCAGCACAAAATCAAGAGGAGGCCATGTATGATCGTATACGTAAAATTAAAATGGATGTTGAGGCCATTGTCGATTCTAGTCAACAATTGTTTGAGGTAATGTGGTTTCATGTGTTGTAGTTTTTGTTTTAAAGTATTTTTTTTATTTTCTCTGTAATAGATGGAAGATCAAGATGGCAATCCCGTTTTTCTACCACCCGCCGAAAATCGTGCCCTACTGATGGCCATGAGTTATTATGAAAAAGCTCGAGCTGCCATGAAACGTGAACACTATGATGAAGCTTTAATTCTCCTATTGGAATCGGATGAAAAATTCATAACATGTAATTCGAAATTTTTGGAAGCAGTGGATAATTATGCCTTAGTCAATTTGGATATTGTTTGGTGTTATTTGTGCCTGAAGGTATGCTATAGTTTTTGGGGAGTTTTTTTAAATATTGTTGCGCAGAGGGAAGGTGTACCATCAGTCGTTTGTGGATTAACAGAAATTCCAGTTCATTCATTTTTTGTTACATTACAAAATTAAAACGTCCTCAGGGAAAGATTCAATACGGTCCACATGCTCTGGGCAAGCGCCACAATATTTGAATGAAATGATTATTTGAAGAAAAATTTTAAATTTTTGAATATTGACCGATTTTTCGAATATTGAACATAAACTGCATATTGTCATCTATTATAAGTCTATTTGCCTTCAAGGGGACCTCATTCTTTTCCCATCAAGACATTAAACTAGGATCCTTGCACCGAATTAACCACTTTTCTAACCTCGCGTTTAATCCGGCTAAGATCCATCCAGAAGGATTTTATGAAATGAAAATTTTAAATTTATTCGGGAATTGAAAGAGAGAGAGAGAGAGAGAGAGAGAGAGAGAGAAAGAAAAAAGGGACCGCCATTATTTGCATTCCAATACAAACAAACTTGGAACAGATTTTAAACACAGATTTGATGATGTTCTAAAAACTTCCCAGTGTCCAGTTAACCCACTAGACCCAAGAATAAATTCCATATGAAATTAATGTAAATGACGCAGCAAAGGTTCTGCTGGATTAAAATCAATTCAGATCTATTCTTCCAAATGGGTACGGCACAGACGACACCGCCCGCCTTTCATATTTCCCTTTTTCCTTTGATAATAAAGTTTCGTTAATAATAAAAAATCTCTTACAGAATGTAACCCAGTTACCTGATGCTCAACGTCGCCTTGATATATGCGAGAAAAGTTTTCGTCGTTCTTATGGCGAAAATCTGCAACGTCTGATAACCCTAAAGGGAAATGGCTGTGCTGAAAAAGCGCTCATAATGCGTTTACATTTATTGCAAGGAGTTGTGCTGTTTCATCAAAATCGTCGTAACGAGGCCTATGAAAAGTTAATAGTTGCCGGAACTGAATTGGATGCACTTAAAGTGGATGATAGTTTGGTGGTGGCATTAATGGAAATGGGTTATGAACCCTATGAAGCACGTTTGGGACTAAGAGCTTGTGGTGGAAATCTAGAGCAAGCTATTAATTTTATACATGAACGTAAAGCCAAACTGAGGGAGGCAAGACAAAATTCCAAAGAAGAACGTAAACTGAATGCGAGATTGGCTAATGAAAATAATGGCAATGGCAAGGATTGGGTGAATCCACGCAGCGTTTGTACCCTCATGGAAATGGGCTATGCGAGAGATGTGGTCGTTGAGGCCTTGAAACGTAGTAAAAATGATGTTCCCAAGGCCGTAAGTAATTGGACTTAGAAATAATTGAAAAATAAATGAAATACCTTATTTTTTGCAGTTGGATTTATTAAACACCAATGCCGATGAGTTAAGTCGTAGTCTTCCTCCACCACAAACAGCTGATACAGAAATTTTGACACAACTACAACAATTGGGTTTCAGTGAAGAAATGGCCCGCGTTGCCTTGGAAACCACCCAAAATAGTTTAGACAAGGCAATTGAATTTCTAATCAAAACACATGGCAGTGAAACGGAACTGCTGTCAGCAATGGAACGTATTTCGACTAGTGCTGCTGCAGCCGCCTCTGCCATTGTTGCCAACCAAGACAACGAAGGACCTTCTACATCCTCTGGTGTCTCGTCGTTGGTAAGCAAAACCCTGGAAAAGGCTCAAAAAGAAATGGAATCCCT